TATTTATATATATTTTTAAGATTCTGTCTTACACATAGCCCAGGCTGACCTTAAACTTGTGATCCTCCTTCCTCAACCTCCTGAGTTCTGGGACACCATGACTAGTCTCATCTTCATTCTTTGTTTTTCATCCATGTGTTCTTGATTTACATAATTCCCCTCTCCACCTCCAGACCATCCCGCGTTCCCTGCCACACTCCCTGTTCTTTAACAATTATCCTTACAAACGCATGAATAACTATATAAATACAATATGCTGGATCCATTTAGTGTTGCTCATGTGTGTTTTTAGTGCTGAGCACTTAGTATTAGATGAGCAATTAGAAGCTCACCCCTGGGGAAGACTGACGCTCTCTCGGCTGCCATTAATTGCCTGTCGCACCTCGTCTAAGGACTGAATGTTGAGAGATCCCCCCACACACACACACACACGCACATAGGGATGCCAACTGCTATGGTCAGTATTCAGGTTTTGAGACTATGTCATAGATTCCAGCATTGCCCCTGTCAGGTCATTGGCCCTGGTGATCTTCTGAAGGCAGCCATTGACAGGAATAGCTAGCTGTCTCTGGTGCAAGGCCTTCAACAGCAGCAGCAGCAGCAGCAGCAGCAGCACAATAGCTGACTTAAACCTGAAGGGGCCTCACAGCTCCAGTACAGTTTCAAAAAAAAGGACCTAAGCCTGTAGAGACCCGAACCTAACCCTGTGCCAGGCAGGAGGAGTCCAGCATAAGAATCCAGCAAGTACCTGAAGCATCACATGACTGATGGTAGCTGTGGCCCTATCTTTCATCTTCCTCTCCTAGTAGTTGTACTCACATGCAGGTGTTGTCCTGAGAAATCGAGACAGCATGGCTTTGAGGATCATGAAGCAAAACTTACATAGCAGTGTATGTGCATGTACACGTGTGTGGTGTGTGATGTGTATGTATGTGTGTATGTCTGTGATGGATGGTGTGGTGTGTTTGTGTGTCTGTGTGTGGTATGTGTGTGGTATGTATGTATGTGATGTATGCTATGGTGTTCGGTGTGTTTGTGTGAGGTATGTGGGGTGTGATGAGTATGTGATGTATGGTGTGGTATGTTTGTGTGTGTTGTGTGTGTGGTATGTGTGTATGCTTCTCTAACAGAGGGCTCTGTAATTCCCCACCAAAAGTGTTTGCTTGCCCTTGGAGCTTCAGAGTTACTTATGGTCAGGTGCAGGTGCTCAGATGCAAGAAAAGTGAGACCAGTGTTACTTCTCTGTGCTGTGCCCTGCCTCTCAGGTATTTCCTCCAGAGTGTGCCTTCCCAGGAACCAGGAGTCAGCTTTACAGACGCTCTGCCACAGCAAACTGGATGCCTAACTCCTGGCTGCATAGTGAATCCCAACCTTAGTCATACAGAAGAAATATAAGCTTTATCAAAAAATTAGATAATTCTTAAGTTTTCAACAACAACCATATAATTAAAAGGGTGACATTTTCTGAGTGTATTTTATTCCCAAATGTGTATCATGCTTGTATGTCAGTGAGGCATTTCCCATTTTTTCATTAATTTATATCTTCAATATTCAATGTATATTAGACACTGACCTGAACAACTTGACTTGTACCTTGCAAGTACTCATTAGCCACCAGTGCAGTGTCTTCTCTGTAGACTAAATTCTCTTAAATTTTCACTTTTCTAAATCAAGATACAATCATCCAAATGTATTTGGAATTCTTCCACCCGATGGGACAGAACAGGGCAGAAAGGAGCTGTGGACAGAAGACAGGGTGGAGGGACTGGAGTGGGGAGAAAGTTTCCAATGAAGTCCCATTTGCCTTCCTTTCTCTCAATGAGAGCCCTTTTAGGAGCTATCGGTACTGTTTAGGAATGAGACAGTAAACCTTAAACATCTTGGTGCTAGTCATAGCCCTGAGCAAGCCCTGATGTTCAGAGAGAGGTGGAGGGGGACGAGAAAAAAGGCACAAGCACTGTCCTTATAAGTAGACAAGGCAAGGTTTTAGAGGAATAATAAATGTTAGCACTAAGTGATCTTCTGCGATAAATTCTTACACAGGCAGTTGCTTCCAAGCTTCTGTTTTTATCACAGAAAGCTAACATGGGCTGGGGGCATAGTTCAGTGGCAAAGCATTTGTCTGGTACAAGCAAGGCCTAGGTTCCAGGCCCAGAATTGCATATGCATATGCATATTCCTCTCTCTCTCTCTCTCTCTCTCTCTCTCTCTCTCTCTCTCTCTCTCTTCCTCTCTCTCTACACACACACACACACACACACACACACATACACACACAACACACATGTTTTATAGTTTGTTTTAAAATTTTTCAATAGCTGAGTATAGCAATGTGTCCTGGCAATCCCCATACTCGGGAGGTTGAGACAGAAAGACTGTCCTACCTGTATCCAGCCTGGAATACGTAACAGGCACCAAGTCAATCAGGGCTATATAGCAAGACCTTGACTGAAAAAAAATTAGTAAAAGGAAATTACCAAAAGAAAGGAGCAGGAAAACAAGAATGAGGTAATATAATAAAACATAATGTTTGTTTTATAATGTAATATCAACTACCCTTACCAGTGCACAGTTAGAAAAATATGGCTAAAAACATCAAGACTGACTATAAATAAGAGACCATAGTATATGGCTTTTACAAATCTGTAATTTTTAAATTGTAGGCAAACAGAATTGATTTTAGGGGTGCTTTATTAATGCAAAAATAAAGACATTACTGTTCAGCTACAAAGTGTGGTAACATCAAAACAGTGGGAAAATACAGACTTTCAAGCAGCTGCATTGTGCTGTGATACTCTCTGTGATGCTTGCTGGGCTTCCAGGACACTGCAAGCAGAAGGAAAAGTCAAGCACTGTGAATATGTGAAGATGTGGATATTGCAAACACACAGCACAAACCACAGCACAAACCACAGCTGCACACTGATTTGAAATGCAGAGGTGGTCCACAGATCTCCCTCCTGCATCTGAGGCCTGAAGAAAGCGAAGGAAAGAAGCCACAGCTAGACTAGAAATAAGTGATAAAAGTGAAAAAGAAAGGATAGGAGAACAGGAGTTGTAAAGGTGTGTAGAGAGGTTTCATTCCCAAGAGACAGTCAGTCTCAGGGAAGGAAAAGGACAAAAGGAAAGCCTGGGAGAGAGGAAAAGGAGGGTGCTCTGGAGAACGCGCCCAAACTGTTAGGATCAGACAGCTTCTTCAGGAAGGAGAAACTGGCCTTGATCCTCAGCACTGAGGCTGGGCAGTTTGAGGAACTGTTTAGAGAAATGCAGCATGCCCCCCACCATTAATCTTTCCTAAGGAAAGGCTTTGTTCTGCACCTGTATAAACAACTCAGATTTTTAAAACCTATATGCCTGCCCCTAATGTGTGAGAGTATGTATTTATAGTGATAGCTTTAAGTCATCTATATGTAACACCTCTGCCTTCCATCTTTCTGCCTGCACCCCCACCAACGCCCCACCCCCTTTTGCCTGGCCAGGCTTGCCTACGGTCAAGTTTAAGCAGTCCAAAAACTTGCCACCCTCTGCTGAATACAGCTGCATTTCCCCACCACAGAAAATCTGAGGGCCAAGGACCCTTTTACTTAAATTGTCTCATGATGAGAACCTCTCTTACCCTACCCCCCCAACCAAGACAAAATGTTCAAGAAAACTTCTGAAATGGTAGCAAGCAGGAGGGGTTATGCACAATATCCCTAAGCGGGAGGCATCATCTTAAGACAAGGTGGAGGGAAACCTGGAGGACAAAATTGGCCCTTGCTAGCCACCTGTTGAGATACTTCAGGCTCAGGGCTTAACTATTTGTTCTGCTGTAAAGACTAGAATTAGCCAGGCAGCTTCCGTCTCCCTGGTACCTGCTTGACCCACTCTCATCCGGAACCTGTGAGCCAAGAGAATGACAAGAAGACAAGGGAGTCGAACAGGAAAGAAACTTCCTCCTGGTCAGCGCAGGAACTCACACACCAACCCTTTAGGGTCGCAATTCCTCTATATGGCACTCAGCAGGAGCCCTGGCTGACACTTGTCCCTGACTGCTAACAAAGCCTTCACCTTGAGCATACACTGTCTGCCTTCTACCTTAGAAATGAGCGCGAAACCTTGTTTTGTCGCCTCTGCGATTGGGGAAGGCAAGGTGTTTTATTCGGAGTTGAAATGCAACATAATTCTAGGGTTGTCCTCTTCGTTTTGTTATTGGTCTTTCTCTCCTTTTCCTTTCCCCTTTCCTTTCTCTTTAATTTTGGCAAAGCGACTGTGCTGACATACTATTCTGCATCCAAGAACTTGCTCTCAAAGCGTTAGGTCAGAGTCCACAGCCTAATCACGCGGGGGAATTCTTACAACAGTGGAAAATAACGTCTCTTGATGTGTGGTAAGGCTTGTGGCTACTGAAATGCTAAACACAGATTCCTGGTCCTACTTACTTGCTCTGCCAGTGATTTTGCAAGATGAATATAGTAACATGTAAGCTTCTGATGTTGTTTGGAGATGAAAGAGCCAAAGTAGAAAAAAAGCGCCGTTTGAATCATAAAAGTGTGGGGGACAGGGGGTAAGGGTCAAGAAATACAGGTTGTTGAAACTGCTCCTTGGTTTTTGCTCTTTCTCTGCCCTCGTTCTTTGAAGCCTTTGATAAGCAAACAGACATCATGAGTGATGAACTTGAACGACAGGTCCCAAGAAACAGACTGGGAGACAAGCAACGGGGGCATGCCCGGATTCCCACTAAGACCAGCTGAAGGTGGAAATGGGATGAGTAGGAACAAGATCTTTTGGATTTTGTCCCCAGATCTCACTTACCTCGCACAGATACTCTGGGGTTCAGTCATGGGCCTAGAGGCCTAAGTCTTGGCTTTGGGCGCACACATTCCTTGCCCCCGCCCCGCTAACCGATGAGTTGAAGGAAAAAAAAAAGATTCCCACCCTTTCCACGCCCCTGCCCCACCTCTTGTCCCCCTTTCAAATCCCCTCTACTTTGGCGGGGGTGGTTTGTCCCAGAGAGTACAGATAAATAGTCCTGTCAAAAGGCGCAGCTCGCGGCTGTACTACTGGATCCCTGAGTCAAGTTCCGCAGAGCCCTGGGCTGGAGGGTCAGTAACTGATCGCGCCCGCTCCAAGCGCCCAGCTTACAGGGGATCCGCAGTGCGGCAAGCCCGGGTCTCCAGTCCACCCCTGAGCTCTCCCACGCCCCATCCTCAGAGAGAAGAAGCCGGAGAAGGCGAGACTGGCCGGGGCGGAGAAAGGCGGGCGCGCGTGGGCGCCGGGGACTAGGCGATGTCCACCGGCTCGGTGAGTGACCCCGAAGACACGGAGATGCGGGGGCTGCAGCGTGTCCACCCGGCCCCCACCTCCAAGAGGCCACCCCTGTTCCGGACGGAGCGCGGCTTCGCATCGCCCAGCGACAACTCTTCCGCGGAGGAGGAGGACCCAGACGGAGAAGAGGAGCGGGGCTCCCTGGGAGCCTCGGGAGCCGCGGGGGGCTGCAAGAGGAAGCGGCCCCGTGAGGCTGACGCCAGCGGCGCAGGTGGCGCTGCGGGCGGCGCGGGGAAGAAGCCGCTCCCGCCCAAGGGCTCGGCCGCTGAGTGCAAACAGTCACAGAGGAACGCGGCCAACGCCCGCGAACGCGCCCGGATGCGCGTACTGAGCAAAGCCTTCTCCAGACTCAAGACCAGCCTGCCCTGGGTGCCTCCGGACACCAAGCTTTCCAAACTGGACACGCTGCGCCTGGCTTCCAGCTACATCGCGCACCTGCGCCAGCTGCTGCAGGAGGACCGCTACGAGGACAGCTACGTGCACCCCGTGAACCTGGTAGGGATGCTGCGCGCGAGGCCGGGGGACAGCAGCCCAGAGCGCTGTCGGGGCGCAGGGCTGGCTCGGCCCCAGAGGAAGAGCCCAGAGGGGAGGTTTCTGGAACCGGTGGTAAGGGATCTGGTTTAGTGGCCCCCAAATCAAGGCAAGAGGAGCCAGCCATTTTCTGGGAGAAAATCAACCGGCCATCTGAAAATGTCCTGGTCCTTTGCCGGGTGACAGTTATCTGTTAACACCCTACTTCCGGGGTAAAGAGTGGCTCCCCACTTGGGAGTTTTTCTACGTTTTTTAGGCCAAATTGGGGGGAAAAAAAACCTCAGTTGCCCAACTTTTTCCAGACAACAACCTAGCAGGTTTGAATCGCCAGTGCTGCTTTCTTTAAAGGGGGAGGGGGAAACCTAACTTTTTAAAATAAAAGTTTGAGTGGTTTTAAACAAAAGAAAAGAAAACATTAATGCAGGATCGCATTCCCGGACGCGATTGTCTGGAAAGTCCCTGATTAACCTGCCAGCGCCCGGAGCTTGGGAAAGATCTCATCCAAATTTATTCGGAAACAAAATGCAGCGTGTGTGTATGGGGGAGAGGACATTAAATCACAGAATCCTAAACTCTCGCACTTTTCACAGAAAAATCATGTGGGCAAACCCCGAGAAAACATGAGTGTATGCTGTCGGTCTCGAATAATCAGTAATCAGTAGAATTAAAATTCTAATCGAAGGACAAGACACACACATTTTCAGAACTCTAATAAAAGCCAGGGACCTCTGGTATTCCCTTGGGAAAGCGGTTTCATTTTGAGATTGTTTCTCCTCGATTACTGACGCTCATTTCGATCTTTTCAGACGTGGCCATTCGTGGTCTCTGGACGCCCAGACTCTGACACCAAAGACGTTTCTGCAGCCAACAGGCTTTGTGGAACTTCCGCTTAGATGGACAGCAGACTTAGATGGATTGTGTTAAATGCAAAGGACTGGGCCAAGAAAGTCCCACTGAATTCCCGGCCTTCTTCTTTCCCTGGGCCTGTGAACAAGATAGGTGACAAGTGTAGTTGCCTTCCTAGAGCACAAGTGGCCATGGCTGCCGCGAATCAGTGCAAAATTCTGTAGCCAAAGAAAGCCCAGTTTCAGGGGAAGAATGTGCAGACTAGATGCAAACCTGGGGCTTTAGCTCTGAGCACAACCCCTTGCCCCTGCCTGCCATCAGAGTCCAGTGCAGAAACGGGTTGGTTTTGAAGCTAATCTCAATTTTCCTTATGGTTGAGAGCAAGGTTCTGCACATCAAGGTCCTTCTGTGACCATGCCTGAGAGCTGTTTCCCAGTAGTAGAAAGAAGGCCTCTGCATTAGAGCTGTGCAGGGGCTTGTCACTAAGGGCAGTGTTGCTAATGTGTGGCATACTCCCACCAGACAAGTCATGGTGAAATGGAGACATATACCACCAGACACTGGCTTTGCCCACAATCCTTGAAGGCTGGAGTTTATTCCCTCCTCTGCTTAATCAGTGTTGGGGCCACCTGCCCTGCAGTTCTCCATCCAGTGAGTGCAGTTTGTTTGTGGGGTCTCAGCTCCTTCCCACTCATACTGTCCCCTGAAGTCTTTTCTTACTACCCATTTGGGGACACGTGCTTCACCCCTCTAATCCGGTCACACTCTGCCACAACACAGCCTTCTGTGGTGGGCAGCTGGGGCTGGGGCTGGTCTATTATACTGGTTTCTACCCAGTGCATGGTGCTTAGCGGTGCTGGAAATGCTGCACTACCATGGTAACTAACATATGTAAATAAATTTATTTTTTTATGAACAAAGCATGCATTGTGAAAGTCTTTTCTAAGGTTATTTGGTGTGGAAATCAACTTTATATAGGTAGGACTCTCAATTGGCTGTCATTATGTTGGTGAGATTTCTAATATCTCTCTCATCTCCATTCTGTATGCAGACACATATGAGAGGCTCACTCTGTAAGCCAAGCGGCACTGCATTCATAATCCTTTTCCTGCTGCCCTGAGACACCATATCGAGTCGAAATACTCTGTGTTTCTGATCTTTCCAGAGGTAGAAACTGCTGGAAAGCAATAACTAGAAGTCTGGTAAAACTGAAGCATTTTGAGGTCAGGGTTGCCTGGTGGTTGGGGGTGGGATACAGAAACATCTAAAATAAATATAGTATTTCAATTAATAATTATCCATCCTCAACGCTCTGCCTCTGGGTGTCTCTGTGTCTGTGTGTCTCTGTGTCTGGTTGTATGACTGTCTCTGTCTGTCTCTGTCTGTCTCTCTCTCTCTCTCTCTCACACACACACACACACACACTGACACATACCTTCTCTAGCCTGACCCTAGTGGGTCAGTTCTAATGGTAAGTTCTTCAAGAACACTTCTCCATCCCCCAGACCCACCTTCACCACCACCCCCGGCCCCGAGCAGAATAAAGCTATAGGAAAGTATTCTGTATTGCATTCCACATCTCCCTGCCCCTAACTGGTGTTTGCAGTGCCCACCATCACAGTTTTCAGCATCATGTCCTTCTATTATTTTTTTTGTAAGAGCTACAAGGTCTGTAATGGTTTTCAGTCAGCAGTTCCTTTGAAAACAAAACTCATTTTGTAGAGAGTTTACAAAAGTTGAAAGGGTAAAAGTACCTAAATATCTACTAGACTGAAATCCTGCCTGCGACTTCATAAAATTGAAATATTGTTTTCTTGACGATTGAGAAAACACAGCTGGATTTTTGTTAAGAGGTGAGATGGCTTGGGGAGTATGACTTCCTGTTTTGAACTAAACCAAACCCCAAACCCAGAGAACTGCCAACTGATACAGCTTCTGGAGCTTGTATTCAGTCCCCAAAAGGCTGGTCCTGGGGTCAGTTAGGAGCTAGAGGTTGAAAGGTGACATTGGTTTTTCTGTGGCACCATCGGCTTTCAGGCAAAAGAGAACTCCAAATAGCTAATGGCAAGAACCCCAGGCATGCTGGGTAATTCAACTGTGAGGTCTGAACAGCAGATGACCAGCTGTAGGCCAGATCTCAGTGAAGATGCTCTCCAAAGGTTTCAGCAAGCCTGGTCCCTTCTCACTGCCTGGTATGATGGTTAAGAACCCATGTTATCTGGTGAAGTGTGGCTAGCTCAGACTGTCATCCCAGGACTTGACAGGCTAACACAGAAGGGTTGTCCTGAGTATCAAGATCACACAGCCACAGAAGGAGTTTCCTTGTCTTAAACAAAATTTTAAAATACAAAGTAAGAATGTTTCCGAGCAGATTCTTATGGAAGAGTAGGAAAGGATGGCAGCCTCAAAGGGATAGGAACTGCACAGGAAGAACAACAAAGTCAATTAACTTGGACCCTTGTGGGGTATTGCACCCTTGGGGCTCTCAGAAACTGAACCATCAACCAAAGAGCATACACAGCATGGACAGTGCCTCCTCCTCCAACACATATGTAGTGAATGTGTAGCTTGGTCTTCATGTGAGTCCTGAACAACTGAAGCAAGACCTATCCCAAAAGTGGGATATGTTCTTCTAACTGGGCTGCCTTGTCTAAACTCAGTGCGAGAGGTTGTGCCTAATCCAGCAGAGACTTGATGTGTTGGGGTAGGGGGATACCCAGTAGGACCCCATCCTCTCTGAGGAGAAGGGGAGAGGGGAGAGGGAGTATTTTGGCAGAGTGTAACCAGGAAAGGGTCAGTGAACAGGATGTAAAATGAATAAAAAAAAAAAAAACCAATGTTTCCAAGCATGGTGGAAGAAGGAGAAGGCAAAAGGATTGCCATGAGTTCTAGATCATCATAGACTACAGCGTAAGGTCCTGTCTCAAAAAACAGACAAACAAACCAACTCAAAAAGTAGTGTGCAGGCTAGTTTTATGCCAACCTGACACAAGCTGGACTCATCTGAAAGGAGGAAAGCTCCATAGAGAAAATGCTACCATAAGATCCAGCTGTAGAACAGTCTTTTAAGTTAGTGATTGATGAGGGAGGGTCCACAGCACTGTGGGTGGGGTCATCCCTGGGCTGTGGTCCTAGGCTGTATAAGAAAGCAGGATGAACAAACCATGAGGAGCAAGCCATTGAGCAACACCCCTTCGCGGCCTCAGCACTAGCTCCTGCCTCCAGGTCCATGCCCTGTTTGAGCTCCTGACCTGATATCATTCAATAAGAAACAATTATATGGAAATATAATCCAAGTGAACCCTTTTCCCCCAAATTTGATTTTGTTCACCATATTTCATCAGAGCAACAGTAACAGCTGGAACAGAAATTGTTACAAGATTGTGGGTTATTGCTGTGACATATGTAGCCATGTGTTTCAGGGAGGATTGGGGAAAGACTTGAGAGCCTAAGGATAGAAAAGCTGTTGAGTTGAGAGCTCAGTAAGCTGTTCTGTGGGAACATGAAAGATAAGAATGCTGGGAGAAATGCAGACAATGGAGTACTGGCTTTTAATATTCCAGAAGGAGGTTTGAAAGTCACTTAAAGACTTTATCAGAGTCATTGCATATTTTGAGTTAAGAATCTATGGTTTTGATCAGCTGGGGGCTGAAGAATGAAAAATGTTTGAGGCTTGGCAGTGTGAGAAGACAGAATGGGCCATTGGAGAAGATGCAGCCTCACTAGCAATTGAAATCCCAGAATTAAAAGGGGTCATGGAGAGAATTTGAGGCTTGGTATCATAAAGAGGCCCCAGGAGAGGCTATTGGTGAAAGTGCAGCCCTGCTGAAGCAATGATCCAAGTATTTTGGAGATGCCAATTCCACGGTATGACCACCAGGATCAGCAGCAGCCATGGAGTGGAGTCAGCAGGAAGACAGAAGACAAGCTGTGTCTTCTGCAGAGGGTAAAGAGAATTGACCCGTCTTTGTGGGGTTTGGGTATGAGTGTAATTGTAGCTTCATAGAACGAATTGGGTAGTGTTCCTTCTGTTTCTATTTTGTGGAATAGTTTGAAGAGAATTGGTATTAGGTCTTCCCTGAAGGTCTGATAAAATTCAGCACTAAAACCATCTGGTCCTGGGCTTTTTTTAGTGGGGAGACTTTTAATGACTGCTGCTATTTCCCTAGGGGTTATGGGACTATTTAGATGGTTTATCTGCTCCTGGTTTAACTTTGGGACCTGGTATCTGTCTAGGAAATTGTCCATTTCATCCAGGTTTTCCAGTTTTGTTGAGTATAGGCCTTTGTAGTAGGATCTGATGATTTTTTTAATTTCTTCAGTTTCTGTAGTTGTGTCTCCTTTTTCAGTTCTGATTTTATTAATTTGGATACTGTCTCTGTGCCCTCTGGTTAATCTGGCTAAGGGTTTATCTATCTTGTTGATTTTCTCAAAGAGCCAGCTCCTGGTTTTATTGATATTTTGTATTGTTCTTTCTGTTTCTATTTGGTTGATTTCAGCCCTGAGTTTGATTATTTCCTGCCTTCTACTCCTCCTGGGTGTATTTGCTTCTTTTTGTTCTAGAGCTTTTAGTTGTGCAGTCAAGTTGTTAGTGTGTGCTCTCTCCAGTTTCTTTTTGTAGGCACTTAGAGCTATGAGTTTTCCTCTTAGCACTGCCTTCATGGAGTCCCACAAGTTTTGGTATGATGTGTCCTCATTTTCATTGAATTCTAAAAAGTCTTTAATTTCTTTCTTTATTTCTTCCTTGACCAAGTCATCATTGAGTAGAGAGTTGTTCAGTTTCCATGTGCACATGGGTTTTCCATTGGTTTTGTCATTATTAAAGACCAGTCTTATTCTGTGGTGATCTGATAAGATGCAAGGGATTATTTCAATCTTTTTGTATCTGTAGAGGCCTGTTTTGTGACCAATTATATGGTCTATTTTGGAGAAGGTACCATGAGGTGCTGAGAAAAAGGTATAGTCTTTTGTTTTAGGATGAAATGTTCTATAGATGTCTGTTAAGTCCATTTGGTTATGAAGCTACAATTACACTCATACCCAAACCCCACAAAGACACGACAAAGAAAGAGAACTTCAGAACAATCTCCCTTATGAACATCGATGCAAAAATACTCAATAATATTCTAGCAAACCGAATCCAAGAACACATCAAAACAATCATCCATCATGATCAAGTAGGTTTTATCCCAGGAATGCAGGGATGGTTCAATATTCGGAAATCCATCAATGTAATCCACTATATAAACAAACTCAAAGAAAAAAACACATGATCATCTCACTAGATGCTGAGAAAGCATTGGACAAAATTCAACATCCCTTCATGATAAAAGTCTTGGAAATATCAGGAATTCAAGGCCCATACCTAAACATAGTAAAAGCAATTTACAGCAAACCAGTAGCCAACATCAAGCTAAATGGAGAGAAACTTGAAGCAATCCCACTAAGATCAGAGACTAGACAAGGCTGCCCACTCTCCCCCTACCTATTCAATATAGTACTGGAAGTCCTAGCCAGAGCAATTAGACAACAAAAAGAAGTCAAAGGGATACAAATAGGAAGGGAAGAAGTCAAAATCTCAGTATTTGCAGATGATATGACAGTATACTTAAGTAACCCCCAAACTTCCACCAGAGAACTCCTAAACCTGATAAACAACTTCAGCAAAGTGGCTGGTTATAAAATCAACTCAAACAAATCAGTAGCCTTCCTCTACATGAAAGATAAACAGACTGAAAAAGAAATTAGGGAAATAACACCCTTCACAATAGTTGCAAATAATGTGAAATACCTTGGTGTGAATCTAACCAAGCAAGTGTGTACGACAAGAACTTCAAGTCCCTGAAGAAAGAAATCGAAGAAGACCTCAGAAGATGGAAAGATCTCCCATGCTCATGGATTGGCAGGATTAATATAATAAAAA